CGACCAACACCAGGGTCGGATCCAGGTTGTTGCAGCCGCCTTGCGCGCCTCCACCTTCACCCCCAAGACACCGGTGGGCAGCTCCACTCGCAGGGCTAGCAGATCCGGGCGAGGGAACGCCGGATCCGCCGGGGACCGAGGTGCCGGCCGCCGCCCTGCGCCCACCGCGCCCCAGGCACCAGCAACCTGAGAGGAGGAGAAAACTCCCTACCGCTCAGCGGCAGGGTAGAGAAGGAAGGGGGCTCGGCGGTGGAGGAGTTTGGAGCCGCCCGAGTCGACCTGCTGAGGACGACGCGGGGCGTTCAGATGGAGTAGTGTATATTGGCCTGCCAACGTAAGTACGTGATTTTGATGATGTGATAAGTAAGCGATTAAACGAGAGAAAACATCTTCACGAGGAATCGGTTTCGCACTCCGCACACACTACAAAGTCCAATCCGATACGAGGAGCCTTCACAGCTGGCGCGGTCGCGGCATGCGTGAGGGCTGAACGGAGCACGTGTGGCGCCCGGCGCGGCCGCTATAGCAAGCACGCGGCAAAACGAGCGCACACAGTGCGGGCGAATAATGCTCGGCGGTTGCCGCTGTGCCTCTCGCTGCTACAGGGTTACACGCGCTCTTCGCTGCCCCTCGTTCTCGACGCCCTGACGGGAGATAGAAAGAGGGTGGAGACTGAGAGAGTACGGCGGGGAGGAAGGCTTTTCATGAGTCGAACTTTTTTAAATTTAATAATTAGGTATATAAGTACCTCTATTTTACTCCATCTGTTCTCAATTGTAATACATTTTAATTTTCTAGATACATAGGTTTTCTATGCATTTCAGATACATATTACGCCTAAATACATTATTAAAATATCGTATGGGGAAATCAAACGCCTTTATAATTTAAAACGAAAGAAATAAATTATAAGATGTTTTTTGATTTTTCTCAGACTTAAATATACACTCATGCTCCAGACACATAATAAAATAAATATATCTAAAAGTTAAAACATTTTAGAATTTAGAATGGAGTGCATACCAAATAGTATTAATATTTGTGTAGCTAAATAAATTTATTATGAAAGTATATTTCATTACCAATCAAAAGATATTACGATATTTATAAAAAGAAAGAGGGAAGAGAAAACAAATTAAAAATAAAAGGTGTGGCACTCTGACAATCCTATGTCACACACGCAAATGTTAGTATGTTACCACGAAATGTCGCGGAATCGGAATTGCAGACTAGATAGACAAGGAAATAGGAAAGGATGATTCAGCTAAGCCTCACCACTTTTTAGATTAATTGACAATGCATGCTGTTTGGCAATAGGAAATTGGTTTTAGTCGATCATTTTTAGCTTGCTAAGTTTTTAGGACCATATTTTACGCTTGACAAGAAATATTCAATGAAATTTTAAAAATTAGGTGCAACAAAAACATTATGCATGAGCAACAATAGGTGATACTTGGAATAAATTATTCAAACTCAAAACAAAACATTGTACGTCTGCCATGCTTAACAAGCATGGTTCAGCTCGAACAGAAAACTTGTAAACTTGAAACAAGTTTGAAAAATAATCTGAAACAAAAAAACTGTACATATGGCATGCTTGGACAACAAGTACTTGAACTGGAGCTATACACGTAATGGAATCAAAATTGTTTTCAGAAAGCAAAATTCGCACAAACTCACGAACAAAAGTCCATAGACGTGGAACAAAAATATTGTGGGTATTGTCTGATGCTGATTTTCATTTTGTTGGGTTGCCAATTGTGGTTTCTGTGATGCTAAGCTCGGGGGTGTCTGCGTGCCCTACTTTTTAACTAACATATATGAACCCGCTAAATAGAGCAGAAAAAATACTAATTGTAATTTGTTGACCCTAGTGTACCAAAATTGCAAGTGAATCGACGTTCTTAAAAAGAACACATAAAACAAGAACCTACAAGAACACTTGGATATTTTCCAATAAAAGGATCGAATCCAAGGCTTCCAGGTTTACAAACTCTGTTCTGTTAGTATTGGCTGAACGATCTTACTCTTTACCGCAATGAGGATAAGCGCAAAGGCAAACACCTTTACAAACTTAGCTATCCATTCCCTGCTCTTCCGTAGAAAAAATACTAACAAGATACTGTATATACGGTACTCCAAAGGGCATGTCCTATATGATATGCGTAGCCTTTTCTTTATGTGTTTCATTAGATTACGACAACCGAAAATAATTTATGCTAACACGCACATGTGATTGCTGGCGATACATGAAATGGCCATGTGATCATGGGAAATCTTTTATTTCTTCTCGTTGTTAGTCAAAATTCAAACCACCGCAAAAGCAAGTGAGGAATGGACAAAAGGATGGACTGCTTGAGTAAGACATGCATATGCATGGCTCTCCCCCAATGGAAAAAAAAAAGATTCTCTCGATGATCGCAACTAATAAATTAAATAAAAAAAATCTGGCGTTTTCGGAACGCGCACTTATTTGCATGACCAAATTTATGAAGATATAAATAAAATTGCATAACGCCTACAGTAAGGGCGTGCGCCGCAGTCCTGCAGACCCTTTTGAGGCCCTTTGACTTGCGGCGCTCAGCTGAGAGGCAGTAACTCTACATCACAAGTGGAGCAGGCGAGCAGGCGAGCAGAGCACTAGAATCCAGTGACCAACGCCATCCTAGCAAGGAAACCAGACAAAAATCACAGATAAAACCGTCCGAAATTGCACGGCGAGACGAAAATAGAACGGCGAGCTGCGGAGTCCAGAGGGCCAGAGCAGAGCATCCAGCAAGGGACGGGGGCAGCAGTCACGCACCGGCACCGCACCCTTCCTGTTCCATTTCACCACGGCCGCGGCCTTTGTGGCCTCCGTTTCGTGTTATCCTCTCGAGTTCTTCCGCCTCCCGTCCCTCCCTTCCTCCTTCCTCACCCCTCGGCAAAGCCCGTCCTCTCTCCCGGTCTCGACGCGACTCTGCCGCCCCGCGCCCAATTCGCGCCCAACTGGAGGCGGCGGCAGCGGCGACCGCACGAGGGCCCTCAGCGCTGCTGTTGAGATTGCGCCGCGCCGCGCCGCGCCATGCAGACCCCTGCCGCCCACCGTGCCCGGTAACCGCTCCCATCCCTCTGGTCTCGCAATTCGCCCCCGCTTTATGATTCTATGCGCTGCCTAGGGTTCTTGATTTGCCGCCTCTCCGGGGTCTGATGCTTTGGTGGCGTGTTTGTGTGTTTCCGCGCAGCGTCGTCTCTGGAGTGCGTGAGATCGTGCACGGCCGCCTCGTGGAAGGGGGGGGCAAGGCCCTACGAATGCAGCGTACTCGTGCGCGTGGAACGCGCCGCGCGCTCACGGGCGCGCTCGCCAGCACCGCGCAGTGCTCCTCGTGCGTACACGCCGAGGCCGGAGGCGGCTGGAGGAGGCGCGGGCGGTCGCGTCGGAGTAACAACTCGGTGCGTTGCCACCTACTCTGTTGCTGTTTCTGTTATTCAAGCCATAGCGTCGATATGGATTTTCGTGATTCGCCTACTTCGCTTGCTTAGCTGAGTTGAAGTAGCAGTCTACTGCAACATTCTGGTAGCAAACAATGTTTTATCACTTGATGACTTCAAATCGACCCCTCTAGGCCCTGTTTGGATCAAAGGAATTTCAAAGGAATTCACAGGAATCCATTCCTTTGGAAAGGTTTCTAGAAATGCTGTTCGAATGAAGGAAACTTCAACAGTAAAACAAAGGAAAGTTTCCTACCTCCATTCATTTCACGGGAAACAAAACATCCCGTCCAAACCAATGGATTCACGTAAGACCGAGACAGCAAGAGAAGAGAAACAAAAATAATGTTACTTCTCTCGCTTTTTCTGTGTTATGGATTCCCTGTTCCAAAAACACCCCTTCTAGTTATTTCCCGCGTTTTTCCTTTTCCTCTGTTTTACCACTACACACTCACCCCATTCCTGCGTTTTTCCTATTCCCATGTTTTTTGTTTCCTCATGCTCCAAACAGGCCCTAGCCTCTAGGTCATGCAGGATAATAATTTAAAGTGCTTTCTCTTTGCATTTTTATTGCATTTTTTATTTCATCGTTATGCAATTATTTGGTAAGCTGCTTTACCATTCAATTTTATGCATTTATTTCCTCTCTAAAAATAAGTTATGCATTTATTTGGTTAACTGGCATGATCAGTTTGTTCCATTAGTAGTTTCTGTTAAATTTATCCGAAGAATAAATTGTAGTAATATAGGGCCTGATGTTCTCTTTGGTGTCGATGCTGGTAGAATATATCATGAGTTAGAAAGGTGAACTCCAGTGATCGCATGCAGCTTCATGAAAGCTTAGCTTTATAGCACAGTTCAGTGTCATTTATTTAATTTTATAGGCAGGAAAAATGCATTTCTTATTCCTTGTGGCGGTCATTGCTGTCCTTTGCTACTGTCTGACTGAATAGCTGAATGCAATATCTTCAAGCGGCAGAACTGCATTCTATCCACTTGAATCACAATTACTCTAGTAAAGGGAATTTCTTTTCTGTAATTTTGTTTTGCGTGCATTGCATGGCATTTTTTTTTCAAAATTCATTGCATGGCATTTTTCAGTTCCAAAGTAAACAAGCTCTGGAAAGATTCACTTTCAGTTTCAGTGATCCTGTCTGCAGCATCCAGCATCCTGTAGCAGTCACACTCTTTTATGTACCTGCTTTTGACCCAATACATCAATAACTGACATGCTCTTTTTATATTGTAGATGCTGCTTGTTTACTGTTATTATTTTGTCTTTGGCTTCTAGTTTGCATGACAGTTTTCTATTGCCTTCCTTGACCATTTTTTTTTTTGTCTATATTTTGTGTATTTTCTGTCTACATATGGTTTTCTACTCTTTTCATTCTGTTACTTAATAGGTATTGAATTGACATACTCTATCTCTTACTACCTCCGTGTTAAATTTGTCCTAAGTCAAACTTTTATAACTTTGACCAAGTTTTTAAAAATATGTTCACATGTACAAGTTCAAATAAATGCACTATCAAGACATATTTCATAGAGAATTTAGTGAAACTAGTTTGATATTGTAGATGTTGATGCAATTTTCTATAAACTTGGAGAAACCTAGAGAAGTTTGACTTAGGACAAAGCTAAAGTGAACTATAACTTGGAACAAGAGCACTAAATAGGTGTAGAGTAGACATACTATCTCTCACATTGAATAGTTACAGATTATATCTGTTACTAAATAAGTGTAGTTTAGACATTGGCTCATCTCAAATGTGCAATCTTGTGCTTTGTGCATGTTAGTGGTGGATGGAAGAGTTTGATAACATACATTCTAGAATTATATCCATTCAGTCATAGAGCATAAGAGGATTAAGGAACAGTTTCTAGCACAAAGAGGCTAATCTTTGGTACTGTCTCATTAAAGCATAAGGGAATGATTGAAATGTAACTCACAGAGCTGAGAAAAAAAGGTAATGCTCATACAGATCATCAATCCACCAAACATATGCTAGGAAAATCTCCGTTCCTTTTTAGCTTTCCACTTGACAATGGTTCAAATTTTGCGAACATTTATTTGGGTCAATTGTTGTTGCCTAATGTTTGGTGGAAGTAGTATCTGGGCAACTAAGAATTTGGCTACCTCACAAGCAAACCTGAGATTATTTTCCTTTTCGAACAGAACAATATATGAATGACTCCACAGCATCCTTTCGTAGCCTTGTTGCCTTGTTGGACAATATGATCATGTTATTGAAATCCAAAAGACCATTCCTGAGGATGCCTTGACCATCTCATGTTCTATTCAGTGTTGACCCAGCGTTATCGTCAGTTTCCCCTGTAATACACACTGTGGTCTCCATTCTCCAGTTTTCCTTGAAATTCATAGTCAGACCCCATTGCAGAATCATGTATTTTGCGGTACGATATCTAGTAATGTGGTAGAATATCAAGTAATTCAGTTTTGTTTTTGGTATATTGACAACTGCAACAGGTAGCTAGTGCAAGTAAGGTATAAGTCTGTGGTCACTCTGCTACTACGATACTACCTCAGATTAAGCCAACTGGAAGGAAAGGTAGTTAGCATCAGGTGCTTCCTGATGCTAAGGGAGTGGCGTTCTGGGTTGTGGATAAGTTATAGGTAGTGTGGGTGGAGGAGCATGCCACACAGGGCCTGGCCCCCTGGCACACACTTTAAGAAGCTATGTTGCTGATGACTTGTCCAAAGTTTTTTCAGAGAATTCTAACACTACCCAAAGACATTCCAATTTTCTTAATATAACCAACTAGAATTCAGGAGCTTATAATGATTCCATGCAACCTGGGCAATCAATTTGCTTTATACTTCACTTTGTGATGATGCTGATTATGTTATAGTTAAATTTATGAGTTAACACCATGTCAGATTGTGGTTGTTTTGTGAATGTAACATTTAAAAAAAAAATCTGCATTCACATTTCCTTGGCTTATTTAAGTAGTTGAGTTTTCATTTTCCAATAACCTTTTACTTGTTTTTTCAGTTACTATGTATCACCTTTGATGAGGACATCAATAGAGGGAAATTTGGTTATGATCCATCACCTGCCTACTCTGCAAGTTTTGTCAGACCTTGGTCTACTACTGTTGACCCAACATGGAGAGCTTACTGCTATTCATCATCTGAATCCTTCATCATCTCCCCAGAGACTTTGTGGGAGGTGTGTCATTGAATCACTTATGTAATTTGCACTTCTGTGCATATCTGAAGAGCTACATTTTCTAGCTTCGATCAAATCCCTCGGTTTGGTTTGCGGTTTTATGACCATTCAGAGTTTTTTTAGGGTAGCAAACATACAACAGTGTTGGGCTTTTTTCCCTTTATTAAAGATATGATATATAGTGCCTGCCACCTTGTTTCTAACCTTTGCACAAATATTCTAGAATATGTAAGGAATAGGGACCATTCTATTCCTGGTAGTGGAACATCACAATTATTTCCTGCTCCATGGTGCCAACACATGTTTTAACTAAAAGAAAAAGAGAAAGGAGTCAAGCTCCTTGATGCTTTTGAAATGTAGTTCTGGCCAGAGTAAAATACATTCATTTCACCAGCCACGCGGCCACGCCAGTTTTACCAAATGGTACCCTTTTGTTGTAAGTTGTAACTTGGTAGTACATTTTGCTCCTCTGAGTTTGAAATGACATTTTTTTATGTGCAAGTTTACCTTCATACCTCAGGTGCTACTAGGTCCTTCGGCGAAGCAAGACTTGACTTTAATGCTAGATTTCCTTATGCGAATCAAGAGTGACTTCAATCATAGTGAATGTAACCTTTTTTTTCTGCATAACAGGATCTCAAACCAGCTGTTTCATATCTTCAACCTGAAGAGTTAAACTTTGTGCATGACGCTTTGAAGGTAACTGATTCACAATATCTTCCTTCCATGCTATTTGAAAAAACAGTTTTGCACTTTCTGGTTTCTGTGGAAGTGCCTACATGAATGTCTGCATCATGATAGTTCATTAATAATTGCAGTTGGCATACGAAGCTCACAGTGGACAAAAACGGCGAAGTGGAGAACCATTCATTATTCATCCTGTCGAAGTTGCTCGTATTCTTGGAGAGCACGTAAGTAGTAATATTGTTGACACTAGTGAAGTACTGAGTACTCCATCCTGAAATATAAAGGATTTTGAGTTGTCCTAAGTCAAACTATCCTAAGTTTGACCAAGTTTATAGATAAGAGTACTAACTTCTACCATATCAAAGAGGTAAATTATGAAAACATATTATGTTATGTATTTAATGATGCAAATTTGGTTCTTAAATATTATTGTTCTTTTCTATATACTTGGTGAACATAGGACAGCTTGATTGAGGACAACTAAATATTCCTTATATTTTAGGACGAGTATTTTCCTTGAAGGGTCCCTAGGGCCTAGTAGTAGTAGCAATGAAGTTTTTTTTTGTCTCCCTGGACATAATTTGGAACTTGATTGTCATTCATTGACCCTATGGTGATGCAGTTTCTGTACTTGTCCCTAGTATAAACAATGAATCTAAGTTCTGTTCTGCTTTGGTATAATTAGGAACTTGACTGGGAATCCATTGCTGCTGGTTTATTGCATGACACTGTTGAAGATACAGACGTGGTTACCTTTGAAAGAATAGAAAATGAGTTTGGGCCAACTGTGCGCCCGTATTGTTGAAGGGGGAGACAAAGGTATATTATTGTTTTTTGCAAAGCTGCAACTTTGATATATTTCGCTGATCATGTAGTAAATCTAGCGCAAAACCTGCTCTGTTTTAAATGTAGGTATCTAAGTTGGGAAACTTCAGTGTAAAAAGTGAGGGTAGCTCGAAACAAGATCTTAAAGCAGACGACCTAAGGCAGATGTTTCTTGCCATGACAGAAGAGGTATCCTTTTATCCATAATGGAACATCTTATCAGGAAAAAAGATTTGCCTCTGTACATTTTACTTAAGAAAAAAATAAAAATCAATGCTGTAGGTTCGTGTGATCATTGTCAAACTGGCAGACAGGTTGCATAACATGCGTGCTCTCACACATATGCCTCAGCACAAGCAGGTGAATTCTTATTCCAGATTTAAGATACGCCTGTATCTTACTTCCACCCTAAGTACTAAGCACGACTATTTGCAGTATGCCATCGCCATGGAGACATTGCAGGTCTTTGCCCCTCTAGCAAAACTCCTTGGGATGTACCGTATAAAGGTATCTGCTGGTCCTTAGGACCTATAAGAGCTAGCTTTAATACTGTATTGCTTTATTTGTTTTATTTCAGATTGTTCAATTTTGCAGTATATGCTGCATATGTTTTCTTTTTATAAAATTTTGGATACCATTTAAAAAATAACTGGCTTCATCTTATGTGTTCTCAGAGTGGAATGTTTCTGTTACCTCTGTTACAATTTTTGTATCGCTGATAAGTCAAATTGCAAGCCAATGATGAATAGCTTGCATTTTAGAATTGTTTCACAACTTGTTGTCTTGCCTACACTGCTACATGTGAATACAGGCTATGTATAGTTCCTTGTATCAGGCTATCAGCTGTTCTCTGACATCCTTCTCCCATGACGACCCGTTGTGTTAAGAGAAAATCTGGCCTTATATTTTACTACTTATTAAGGGCGTACAAAGTGTAGAGCTCTGCTGCATGTGTGGTCTGGGAAGGGTGTCGATGGCAAGCCTTACCCTCGCTTGAAGGCAATACTGAGGAGACCATGACTGAACCCAGGACCTTCCGGTCACAAGTGTACTTACCTTTTAAAATAAAATAAAATAAAACTAAGGTTCACTTACTGTAAACATATTTGTGGAATAATTCTAGAATAAAATAAAACCAAGGTTCACTTGCTGTCCATAAGTCTTTCTTATAAAAGTATTTGGGAATAATTCTAGTTTTCACACCCTCTGCAATAATAGTCCAACCCCTGAACTTGTGAAAGCAGTCTCTTTAGTCCTTTGCATCTGGTTTTAATCATGGTTTTTGAGCTAGGGACTAAAGAAAGGCTTGTGCCCCTTTTTTTTATTATAAAAGGTGATGTACTGCTACTTTTATCCATGTTAAAAAATATTTTTGTTTTGTGTACTTTTCTTTTCATGTAGGCATATATCAGTGTATCACTCTATGTGTATCTGTGCATTTATGAAGAAAAATTTCCTATATCCTAATGTTTTACTCTCAGTTCTTCCTTCCTTTTTGACCAGCAGCTCTTGTCTTTGTAGTCTGAGCTGGAATATCTATCCTTCATGTAACGTTAACCCCACTGGTTTTGCTGAACTAAGGAAAAGAGTCGAAGACTTGTACAAGGCCCATGAACAAGAATTGGAAGAGGTGCTGTGTTTGTTTGGTAGCTTTTAAGTTATGATTGATACTTTGCATGATTCAGTGTCATTTTCTCATGTTTTGCAATGGATGGCATTAATTTGAGATTCTTTAATTCCAGGCTTAATAGGATTTTAAGGCAAAAGATTGTTGAGGATCAGTTTCTCGATCTTGTTAGTGTTGAAACAGAAGTGCGCTCAGTTTACAAAGAGCTCTACAGGTGAGCGCATGCCATCTCATTAAACTAAAAGTGCTACTGGCTTGAGACTCCAAAGAGAATTTTATCTATTTTCATTAGGAATCAGATTATCATACTATAACACCACCTCTGCTTGCTGAAGTGCTGTGCTGGCATGCTATGGTGTTCCCTAGATATTTCTTACACAGTTTTCCAACTCATTTCCTATGAGATCATATAATCAACCAGTCTGCTACACATTTTCGTTAGTTTTATTTCCTTTTGGGTTTTTAAAAGGGTTGGCGACTGAATCATATTCGTTGTTGACTAAAAAACCACTCCGTAATATGATAATACTTTTGTGGTACGGTTGCCTATTTATTTGCTTAGTTGTGTGTCTCAATTGCATTTTAAACCAAAGGTTATTATTATAATGGTGCGAGTGTTATGTGGTTCTTGAGAGAAGATATGGCACAGGGAAAGTAGTAGATTGATTCAATGTGTACAAGGGGGTACAACATATATAGGCAAGGATCGGTGTAGGGTTTATAGAACACACCCAATCAACGGAGATCCTTGCCTAATCTGGGAGATCAACTACTATAAACCTGAGGCAGCCCAGCCACCAGGTGTGGGCGCCAAGGCCCATGGCCAGCCCTATAGGCTCTAGTCTAACAGTTCTTACTTGGAAATATTGTGTAAGGTTGTTTATTTGGTGGATTATTTATTATTTGAGCCATCTTTCAGCATTTACAAAACTACACTCAAATCCAAGAGTTCAATAAATGAGGTGAATCAGGTTGCTCAGGTATGTTTTTTTAATATCCATACTATTTATATTACTCTGAATATGCTGTTATTTGTAAAATAATGAACCTTACATTATTTGCTTAGCTGAGGATCATCATAAAACCAAAATCCTGCAATGGTGTTGGGCCATTGTGCACTGCACAACAGGTACCACTAACAACAAATTACTATATTGCTTATACAGTGGATTTGTCATTGGCTCACAAGTATGTTCAATTCACTTCAGATCTGCTATCATGTTCTTGGCCTTGTTCATGGTATATGGACACCCATTCCTCAAGCTGTGAGTTATCTTCTTTTCGTCGTATTTAATGTTCTTTTGTGAATTATACCATTTTTCTAACATTCAATTGTGCCAACAGGTGAAAGATTACATTGCAACTCCAAAACCTAATGGCTACCAAAGTCTACACACAACAGTGATACCATTTCTTAACGAGAGTATGTTCCATTTGGAAGTTCAGGTAGTGCTGCCTACTCATTTGTTAAATTTAAACTGGCAAATATCAAGCAAAGAATGTACTTTCATCCTGTTGTTAATTGTGACTTATGTTTAAAATTCTAACTGTATCGCAGATAAGAACAGAAGATATGGATTTAATAGCAGAAAGAGGTATTGCTGCACATTACAGTGGAAGAGGGGTGGTTTCTGGACCTGTTCGCCCTGGAATATCAAGTGGAAGAAATGCCAAGGGGAAAGTAATCTGCTTGAACAACACAGGCTTTGCTCTGAGGGTACTGTACTTTATGTAATCCAATCATACTAATGCTTTTAAAGCTTATAGTACTACTTTAAATATTATACCACAGTGGGCTTGAGAAAAGTTTTAATAGCTTACCATCTTTCATAGATTGGTTGGCTCAATGCAATCCGCGAGTGGCAGGAAGAGTTTGTTGGTAATATGAGTTCTAGGGAATTTGTTGATACTATCACCCGAGATCTTCTGGGAAGCCGTGTCTTTGTGTTTACTCCTAAAGGCGAGGTGAGGCAATGAACTCAGAGATATTAGTTAGTTAACAGCATAGACTGTTTTTTGGGCTCTAAATATGCTGTTACATGTAGATTAAAAACCTGCCTGAGGGAGCCACAGTGGTTGATTATGCTTATCTGATCCATACTGAAATCGGCAACAAAATGATTGCAGCAAAGGTAAATTATGAGGAAAAAATGGAAATACATTGTAATGATTAATTCCATTAGTGTATTCATATGCTCTTTTGCAGGTGAATGGCAATCTGGTTTCACCAATCCATGTACTTGCAAATGCTGAAGTGGTGGAGATTATAACTTATGATGTCAGTATTCTCTCTTATATCACATGGTTTGTTTCTGATATAAATTTTTTGACAATTTTGCAATTTCAAGACACACACATACAAGGTGCTGCTTTGGTTTTGTCAAAATGTTGCAATGTTTATATGCTTATTGGTCAATTTATGCTCTTAATTCTTGTTTTCCTAATATTAACTTCAGTATGGTTGTAACTCTTTAGTTTTATACGGGCGTATGACCAGCTAGCTAAATTTATATAGCATCATTTTTTCTTGAACTTCTTAGTTGTACTGTCAAAAGTTTCAACTTGCTGCAGAGAAATGCATACTACTGTTTACAGTAGTAACCCTCTAAAAGGTTTGTGCCAACTGCTGAGTATTTTAGATTTTTATTGATTGCCCAAAAGGTCATTTCCAGCTTGTACCAAGTCAGGCCTTCACAAATCATTATATTCTCCACCAACCAGCATACATCTTGAAGTAAAAAACTAAGAATGCCCAGGGAATTAGCAATAACTGATAATTCTGCAAACGCACTAGTGTGGTAGTAGTGGTACCAACCAACCAGGGTTTGAATCCCAGCTTGCTTAAAAAATTCCATCGCTGAGTCGCTGTGGCTCCCCAAAAATTAATGGCAGGGTGCCGGCCTATCTGGTGGTAGTGGCAGTGATCACCGCCCAGGTTATGGTGGGGCAGGGTGAGGCCAGGGTTCGGGCGTTTTCTCGGCTGATTTCGCTTAGGTTTCTGCTTAGTGAAAAGCCGTGGGGGCAGTCTTTCCCCCACCGGTCGAGTTTTATATAACTGATAATTACCTTGAGGGGACACCTTGTATCAGTTAAAGAGTTAAGACAGTGATCTATGCTGCAGCCACTAGCCCGCTACAAGCATACTGAGTTCAAGAGAGATCGTACATGCAGGGATCGGCATGGACCTCTCCTTGTTTTCTTGTCTAACTGGGTTCATGATATCTTACTTCTTTTGTTACTGATCCATCAAAATGTGACTGCATGCATGCACCATAGCATCACCATGAGATCAAATGTTACTTTCTTTTTCCTAGAGAGGATATATGTGCTGTACTTTCTGGTCTCACAGCATGAATGGTCTCAAGTGAATCAACCAATCTGTCTGTTTTTTAACCTACAGCATTAGGTAGGCCAATCAATCTGATCTCAATACCCTTAACCATCATGAGCAGCCATCAAGGCTACTGACCTACATAAGTAACTGCTAACTGTCTTTTAAAATAGTCTTATAACAATTTGGGTGCAAATCTGAATTACGCATGTGTTTGTCAGTTACTCAGTATCACAATGCTTGTTTTATTGCCCTGTATCTATCAGGAGGATTTCAAGGGAGAAATTGCATTGGAAACTTCTTATATCCATGAACATTTGGACTAACTCAACATATTTGTTTCCGTTTCAGAAATTATCTAGTAAGTATGCTTTCCAGCGTCACCAGCAGTGGCTACAGCACGCAAAAACTCGCAGTGCTAGACACAAAATTATGAAAGTATGTGGTACTATCATTTAAATTTATTTTCCTACATTACCAGACCGCTCAGTAATGAATCTTTTCCTTATCAGTTCTTAAGGGACCAAGCTGCTCTTTCTGCTGCTGAAATTACTGCTGACGCAGTTAATAATTTTGTTGCTGATCTTGAAGACGAAAGTGATAGTGAGCTTTCACTTCCAAGCACCAAGAACGAAGATAGTAAATTCAACTGGGAGAAGACATTAAGTTCTGATAAATTATTCTTTGTCAACAAAAGTAGCGATGGCTTTTTACCTGTTAATAATGTCCATCCAAAGCTCAATGGGAAGCAAAACAAAACTGTTAAGGAATTGGGCATCAAAATCAATGGTCATTCTACAATTCGAGGTGATAGCTTCAATGAGTTAATGCACCCTGGCAATTCCACCTGCAAGGAAGTTTTCCCTGGTTTAGATCGCTGGAAATCTGGTAAAATTTCTGGTTGGCATAGTACGGAAGGCAACTCTGTCCAATGGCTTTGCATAGCCTGTGTTAACCGAAAAGGTGATGCTTTTGCCATACTGTTGCACTAGACAGAAAAGTTATACTGATCTTTCTATCTTCTCTACCTTGAAGTAATATCTGAGTTTTACGACAAACTTGTTCACGTGAAATTATTGTGTGTTGAATATTTGAATCTGGCTAATTATAGCCTTGTAAATATCACAATCAGTCAGGCCTTAAGAATGATTTATAGCTTGACGGCCTAACTTAGCTGACTGGCAGTAGCATTTAACTATGGTAACTCTCCTTGTAAATGGCTCCTAATTCTTTTGCCTGCCCTGTGTTATTTAAGCATTGCAAAGCTGCAATGCTAATCATTGTGGAAATTTTCCAAACCTTCATTCCTTTATGGGGTGTTTGGTTTGTGGAATGATGTGGTTTATCATCATCTCATTCTAATTTTTTGTTTGGTTTATGAAATGGAATTAGTTGATCCATCACCACTTCATTCGATCTCATTCCACTAAATTTGAGGAATGAACTCATGATGCATCACTCCATCTAGAATGGATTGATTCTTCAAACCAAACACTCCCTTAGTGTGCTCTCTATGCATAGCTATTTGCCTTACCTCTTTCAAGAGACTGATTCGATACATTCTGTTGTTTTTTGGTCAAATGAAACACTCCTTAGCTGTAGGCCTGTAGCTGCTACTAGCTTTTCACATTTGCTATTTTGTTATTGAGCTTTTACTGGTAATGTTTGTAAAATCTCGTGAATTAATTTGGTGACATTCACAGGGATGATGGCGGAGGTTACATCGGCTCTTACAGCTTGTGGAATTACCATATGTTCTTTGCGTGGTATGTGAATCCAAATCTTTGATTTGTCTTTTTTTTTTTTGTCTTGTGCCGTATTTTATGCAATGACCATTCAGCTATTTTCTGAGTTATTTACTGATTTTTGCATCCATTTAATTGTATACACATCCTCTTTGTATTTTTTAGTCAAGTCATCATCTTAGTTCTTGTGTTTTCCAGGCAGAAGTCAATAAAAGGAGGGGAATGGGTGTGATGCTGTTCCATTTTGAGGGAAGCTATGAGAACGTGGTATGCTTGCTTAATTGATAGTTGATGCTAGTATTTGTCTTTCAAGCATGTTCTTTTTCATGAGCGTTCTACCTAATAATCTCTGTACTTGCAGGTCAGTGCATGTTCAAGTGTTGACATGATTCTTGGTGTTCTTGGTTGGTCTGTGGGATGTAGCTGGTGTCCATTGGGTGTTCTTGAGTGCTAATGGGTATCAAGAGACGTATACCGCAATAGTTCACCACTATCTTCTCCAAGATGGAGATAATTTTGGAAGCACCAAGACATCAGCCGCTCAAACTTTTGGTCAGATCATGGTTGGTGACTGGTGAGCGAGTGGAATCCTTTACTTATCTGTCAAATCAGAAAGTGAGGGTGAGCAAATTAGAACCAGATATATATAAGGGACATTCTGAAAGCGAGTGTACATTGCAGAGCGAGTAGGGTACTGTTAGTGCAGGGATTGATTGGATTATACAGAAGGCCTTAAAAAAGATTGTTAAAGGCAGATCTTTCTTCTCCCCACTTGTGTGGCTCGCATATATGAGTTTGCTTAAATGTGCAGCTAGAATTTTGACCTGGATACTAATACCAAATTTTGTCTGTATTTAGTTTTCTCTCACTCTGCCTGTAAATGTTATTGTATATAGCTTCAATTTTGCAAGTGAAAAAATTTGAGCATGGTTAACTGGTAGATGCACGCTTCTGAATTACTTGCCATTTCCTGCTGTATGAATGGTAACTTAAACTAGAGGTTTGGCTCTGATGCTTGCTAATTTTGCTCTGGATGGTGATTTTGATTGATTGTATAATTAGATGACAGTAACCATAAGTTGTTGCTCAGTCCTGTGTAGAGGCCAGAGGGAAGGAGAGAATGTTCATGTGCATGCCTTAATCTTTCTTTCTTTCTTTTTTGCGAAAGAATGCATGCCTTAATCTATCCAGAAACAAGAGTTCAGTGCTAATGATATGTTCTCAATGTTCTAAATTACAAGTCGTTTTAACTTTTTTGATATATAGATTTTGCTATGTATTTAGACATGCGTTATATTTAAATATGTAGCAAAGTTATGTAAAAAAAGTTAAAGTGACTTATAATTTGGAACGGAGTATCTATTACGGAAGAAACATATGCGGCTCTATCCAGAAACAAGAGTTCAGTGCTTATATATATCTATTATTACGGGAGAAACGTATGCGGATTCGCGTAGTGATCCACGTTTAGTAATTCTTTGCTACTTCAGTCTAAATAATACTTTGTTTTGGCTTTTCTAGTTACTAAGGATTTGTTATGGATCTAGATATAAGTTATCTTTAAATACTTAATTAAAACTAGGAGTATATATGAAAAAACAATTTGTAATTTAAAACTAAGGTGTATGCCCCTGGATTTTTCACAAATATACCGATTTTTTTGTTTTTTAGCCTTTTTTTTAATTTTTTCACAAATATGTCTCTGGAGGTATGATTTCAAAATCTGGATTTTTATTTCGGCGCACGCCATAGATTTTGGCGTCTAGTTCTTGGGCTCGACGCAGATGTGGCGGTGACTTGGCAGGCAGCTTAGCGTCGTAGATCCTGACGCCGAGCTTGGCGCCATAGATCTTGGCGCCGTGGTTATTGGCGTCAAGCCCTGCCTTACGTATGGGCCCTCCCTTCCTTTCTCTCTTCCTCTCTCTCTCTACCGCTCGTGCCGCCTCGCCTCGCTGCACGGAGCACCGACCATCCCGTGCCGCCTCTGTAGTGTTGGGTTTTCTTTACCGGCAGCTTTGCGAGGCGTGTCGTCGAACTTCGTCCTCAGCGTCACTTGGTGGATGTGTGTACCTGCTCCAGTTGTGGATGTGGGCTCGTCTACCAGTTGGCCGCCCCGAGGTTCTGGCTCGTCGCGAGTGGTTCCCAGGTCAGCCTCCACGTCGGCAGCCGACGTGGACGTACCTTTGGGATCATGTTAGGGTTCCGCACGCGAGGTTACATCGGGCGTACATTGAGTTCATGAACGAGCTAGACACGTTCACGACGCCTAGTGTAAGTAAATTTTATTTCACATGCTAGTTTGAAATGGTTTAGTATAGCATATAACATCTTGTTTAGACATGTTGCAGGTGTCCAAGATGGGTCCTGCCTCCACCTGCCTTCCTTTTCAGTTGAGCAACATGTGTGGGTGCGACGACGACTTCTATAGGATGAGGTGCCCTCTAATTTGTTTCTATGATGTCGAGTTTCACCTACCGGATAGAGTTGCACGCCAATTTGGAGTGAGACGGCTTTGACCAACGGCTCCGTTCATGACTGACGTTGACTTACACAAGTAAATGTTTTGCTATTTTAATTGTCTCGTAATGGTCCATTTCCATTAATATGGTGATATGTACATGGATTGAAGTAATGATGACATACGTGCAGGTTGGATCGTCAGAAGAACAGAAAGATTTTTGACTGGGAGAAGCACCACCAGTACTACATTGAACAATGGGAGTTGTTGCACGACAATGTGGACGCGAACAACGAGCCGCATACGAACCGTGAGTTCAGGCACTAACAAGCTTGGTACCAACATGCGACACGTTGCAGGCTGAGGCTACAATAGACAGAAGATGACTACGCCGACATCGAGTCCTCCGACGATGAAGACACGACGTACGACCAATCTACTCGTGCAGGAAGGCAGGTGGAGGCAGGACCCATCTTGGACAGATTGGTAAGTCAATTGCCTTATTTTTCTATATTAAGTTGCATACTAATACATTATGCGTTAGAGGTATCTATTTTAGTTAGTGGCACCTTCGAGCCGTAGCATCCTTATAATTAATTCAATCATGCAACATAATCATGCCTTCAGAAGAGGATTGGATGGAGTTTGATGCACGACCAAATGGATATTGTGATGACCTGTAGGTGATGGTACAAATTCGGATGGATTTAGTCCTATTAGTTGTTTAGTAAATTTTTCTTCTACAAAAGAAAACAAAACTTATTCCTATCTGTTGAGAAGTATTATTACTGAGAACTTTGTTGCAGGGCAATACCCTCAAATGCTCTGTTGAAGACATTGAGCGCTTTTGTCCGAGCGTCAGGGAGGACGACATGCATAGCTTCCTAGACGTAAGATTCAAAATATTCTTTCAAACATATTATTAATACGTTAGATTCTTTCAGTTAACATAATTTTGTGCAACAAAGGCTGTCACGTCGGCTTCGCCGTGCGGCTGCTCGTTGTGGTTGCAGGACAGCCATAATGCAAGATGTGCATGTTCCTTCCGTAGGCAGATGAGGCTTATGTTCCTCTAGCCAAGCACCTACAGGATCCATAGGCATTGCGTACGAGGAGGAGGACGACGACGACGATGTGGACCAGAGGCACGAGGAGCTTGGCCCGTCTTAGCTCAGGACGCTCCCTTGACTCAGCCTACACAGCCTTCAGGCACTAGGCGATGTTATGTTGACTATTTGGACTATGCAGGACATGTTATGTTGATTGTGATGTTCGATGTGGTCGTATTATGCTCTTTGGACGATTAAATATTTACATTATATAATGATGTCTCTGTTTGTAACCGTGGATGCTCCTGAAACAAGGGAAACTCTTACGAATTTTTTCATGAATTATTAATTATACTACACTGTTAAAAAGACACAAATATAGTATACAAATTAAATGTAAATTCATTAGAACGTGTATAGTCCAATCGTATCGTACAGACACTTTACAGATGAATCTAGGCTTTTCAGTAACAGTGAATGAATCTAGGCTTTTCAGATAATGAAAATAGACTTTTCATTTACAAGGACGAGAATACGATGACAACAGCGATTTATCACTTTACTTACATAGTACACCTATAGCATCTAGGCTTTTCAGTGATTTATCATGTCAGCAGCGAATAGACTTGTAAAACGAATCTAGGCTTTTCGGTGTCAATTGAAATAGTCTCTTCAAATTGAAACTAATTAGGCTTCTTGTGACCAGTTATAACACATTGAAATGGCAACTAAACACGCCTCTTTTATATATATCGCAATGTTGGATGCATTGCTACTTATTTTCTAACTAGTATTTTTCTTCGTTGCGAGTACCAATGTCTGGAGGGTCGTCCAGAGGAAGAGGAAAGGGGAAGGGAACTACTATTGTGTGGGAGGGTTTTCTTGGTCTCGATTTCTTTGAGGAAGCTCTTTATGAGAGGTTCCCAGTTGAGAGCAAAAGTGATTTCACCAAAGAGGCACCACTGAGAGGATATGATAAACGGAAAGAAGAGTGACCAAAATGCATGCATGGTGAGGACTGCATAGTGCAGATGTTCATCGAGGGAATAGATGGAGGTCGTCGTTTCTTCAAATGCCCGCGAACATGAGTAATTGCTATTACTATTTGTTTCTTCAATATGTTCCTCTTCTATACAACTTACATGACATACTTATTGCAGTCTTCGTTGGCCGAAGAAAACTATGGGTTCACTAGATGGGTCAATCCTCGACCTATTTATCCACATGCGGAGTACATCTACTATCTGTAGGACCGTATCTTTGATCTAGAAAGGGAAGTTAGCAGCGGTTACAAGGACGACGAACAGGACGACAACAATAATGGTGCCGATTCACAAGAGACACTCTGCAATAATCCATATTGCATCTGCCCTAACCATAAGAACAAGGGGCCTCCGCCGTCACCCCCGCCACTAGCACCAACAATAATGAGAGGCTACTGTGGAGAAGGTGCAACACAATTTGATATGTGGCTACACTACTAGGACGACCCTATCTTATTCACATGGCACATCCATGTGTTTTATGTGTTGAATTATATAATGCCCTACTTCGTTATGTTTTGTTTGCAGCACGTGATCACATTTCACTACGTCCGTAATATTATACTGAATATTATGACCACAAATATTGAAAACAACTACATAATAAAAAGTCAAATACTATGCCATATTAAACAACACAATAATACTAGAAGTACGTGTCGACAGTAGACAACATTGTTCATGAATAAACCATAGAACTAGCAAGTTATGGAGACTACTGAGTGCAACGAGGCCACTTTTCCTTCCTCAAGACATCGAGATTCTCCTCCATCGCTGCTTTCGCTCGACGTACACGCTCAAACTTCTTCTCCCTCTCCTCCCTGTACGCGGCAACATGCCTCCTTTCCTCCTCTTCCTTGTGCTCCTTTTTTGCAGCCTCCTCTCCGCGTCTCCTTATCCTCTA